TCGCCAGTTCCGCTGGCTGCCAGGAGCGGGGTCCGATGCGTCTGCTGCACCTTCAACAGGCATTGATGTACAACATCGTGCTTCTCCTTGGAAAGCTCCTGAATGACTCGATAGCCATAGATGGCCGCATGACCCCAAATTGGGTCAGAGCAAACTTCTTTGAGGTGGATCTTGAATTTGGCCAACGGATTGTCATAGAAGGCATTGAAAGTATCTTTGCTAGTCAGGCGAGCATCACATTCCAGGACAATCTCACTGACAGCAGCCAAAGTGAGTGTAATAGAGGGTGTCGGCAGTTTGAATGTGACTTCTGGCGTGATGACCAACAGGTGTACTTGCCGCTTGTACTCCTGATTCATTGCTGGGTCAAAAACGATGACTTCGAAAGGGCCTGACAAATTGGCCAATTTCCCCAGTGCATCCATTGGATCAATCATTGGCAGCAATAGTGCACAGGGCTCCTTGGGCACGACCTCAGTGGCTTGCTGAAGATTACCTTTGGACACAAAGGCGATCCCACCCTTGTTGGTGGAGAGTTGCTGTTTTTGCACGAAAGGCACCGGGGTCTTGTTCTTGTCAACGAAAGGATGGTCAGACTGTAGCTGGAGATCCTCCCATTTACTCTGTCGCAGTGGTTTCTTTTTGGTGGTCCATGGGTCATCGAACTGCCACGGATCTGGGGTGGCCATCGCAGTATCCGGCGAGGCCGTCCCTTCCATTCCTCCAAGTGACAGTGCAGAGCATGGATGGAGCAGTTGTTGCCCACCAACGACAAGGAAGAGCCTTCTCATGTTTTCAGCATAAGTCCGCAGCATAGGTGGAGCGCGTGTGGCTCTCCAAGCTTGATTAGATTCTTCAAGGATTTGGTCAATGAGCTGCCTCTTTTGTTGTGGAATGTGAAAGGTGTCAGGCAGTGATACATCGACAACAATCCAACGGTGAAGCAATTCCCAACCACACATGCCCGGCCATGTTCGACTAGTGTCAACAATGATGATTGGACGAAACCCAACAGGAACGATGAAGTCCTCCGCAAAACTTGCCCAGAACTGTTGGTCTCTCGGTGGCACTTGGAGGAAGACGACTCTACGCGTGTGTTCTCTGGCATTGCAGATGACCTCAATGCCGATCCAGTGCCCTTCTCGGAGTGCAACGAATCGCTGTACATCCTCATATAGGGGCTTGACACTGGCTGCAATGATTGACAAATCATGATGCATAACCGGCGGACAGAAGGATTCGGGCAAAAAGAAGGCCATTGCAAATTCAATCTCATCATTGGAGGCCCACCCAGGATGAGTTCTATAGATATTCAATCTCATGTCCAACCACTCATCGGCAACAAAGAAGATCTCATTGATGCTGTAGCGATATGGGGGCCTTCCCGTGGCACGAACGCCCAGATCTTCCGCTCGACTTGGTGCTTCCAGAATAGCAACCAGAAAAGCGTTCCTGCTTGCTCTGGCAAATTGGAGCATTCTGTCATCAACCTGTGAGTCTCTCCAAACCAGGTCAGCTTGTTCGATCACCTGCGTGACATGATGATTGTTCTGAACACGTTGAAGTCTCTGAGTTGTTCGATGTGTTTGTGGGAGCAAAGGTGCTCCAGCCCGGGCATAGAAGCTTCTGAGTGTATACCACGGAGCTAGGTCCGAGTCTTCCGCAGTTCGAATCCAGCGAAAAGCATTCTGCATCACTTGAACCCCCATGAAGTGGATGAGCTCAAGCACGGCTTGACGTTGTCTGTGCGTCAGTTGTTCTGGGGAGTGGTAAAGGACCCTCCATTGTCCTTCAAAGAACCTCACCTCGACAAAGATCCAATCAAAGAGGACCAAAATTGGTACTACGAAGTGCTGGAAGCAGAGCAATAGATCCGCAGGCTCAGGAGGGAATCGGAATTGCGCTTCATTGCTGATCCAGATGGCAGGAGGGCACCAGCAAACTGAAGGCATCAACATTTGCAGGAAATCGAAGTGGAAGACAATCTCATCAATTGCAAGTGCTCCTGGTTCGAGGTTAAACTGAAGCATCCTTTCAGTAACTCGATCGCCGTGGATATTGCAGCTTGGGTGGTCAATGAGTCTGTCCATGCCACCAAACACAATGGATGATGCATTCTGCACTCGCACATCACACCAGAGTAGATCACCGTTGATCAGCATCAGAGGTTGGTCTTGTCGGCAATGCGCAAGATTGCGCTTGATAATCTGACAGTTCTGCTGGAGTTCAATAGTGCATTGAGTCGGAGTAACTCCCCGCGGCACTTTGCTGATTTTGCACCACTTGAGGTCGGAACCACCCGCCAGCAAAATCCACTTGTCATTGGAAAGAGGCTCATACTCACCCCGTATGGCGATGATGCCTTGTGTTCCCAGCATGACTCGACAGGCCTCACGATTGACTTGGAAGAAATGGACAGAGTCTCCCTGATGTCGAAAGTTTGGGATGCTGCCAATTCGGTCTAAGTTGGCCTTGCTGATCCATTCAGAAGACCCATCTTGCAGTAGGAAAAGTGCTTTACCAACATGCAATGGGCTATCATCTTGGCAGAGGTGTTCAAGCACATGTAGAAATCCATTGCAGTGAGCCTCAACAAGGTGGTCCAGCTCCGGATCAGCTTCATCAATGGTCCATGGTTGCGTAGGCGACACAATGGGGTCGTCCAGCATTCCATCTCTGTTCATACAGAAGACTCTCAGTGTTCCCAGATCTGCAGTTCCGAGTCTAAGTCCAAAATCTCCATCTGACAACTCGTTCCATCTAATGCTGCTTGGTAAGTCTCGACCATCACGAACAAGCTTGAGCAATTCCGCATGATGTGACTCAAGCTGAAGTGCCATGAGCAGCTGGTCAATGATATTGATGTCATCTTGCACGTTGATTGGGATGAGTGCGGCATCATCACAAAAGCGAATCAAAGTGTGTCCAACGAGCCAAGGCTGCCAAGTCCCAATACTGGGGATAGCTTTAGTCGCAAAGTCAGCAATAGGCTGGAGTACATACATATCACCACAGGTGCGGACAATTGCGTTCTGGGATGTCAGCCTATCTTCCCAGCACTGTCGGAGAAGTGTCAACTTGGACATTTGCTCATCAGATACTCCTTCAAGGGCAAAGAGGAGGGCAACTAGGGCATGCAACTGCGAAATGGCATTCCCCAACTGATGAAAGGCGCGGCGAATATCAGTTGGTAACCCAATGCAATCCGAAGTACCAAAGAGCGAAACAAAAGCAAAAGGGTCAATAAACCGAAATTCATCTCCTTTGTGCAGTAACGTAGCAAAAATGCCCTTTTCCTCGACATGCTCGCGTTGTAGAAGATGTTGAGCAGTATAGGAAGCGCGCAGAGTGGGCAAGTATTCACCTTGCTGTAACAACCTTGCAGAAAGCACTTGCGCAGCAGTTGCTACCTCACCAACCCGGGCCCGCTTAGCAGGAGGTAGCAACTTCTTGTCTCCGTAGATCTCAATCAACTCACGCTGTAAAGTGAGGTCAGCGTACAAGGTTTTGGGCAAGGCAAAAAGATGCCGTGCATCGTCCCATGCCAGTCGTCGAGGAATGTTGCACATTATCTTCTCATATGACCTCTGACACTTCACATCCCTTCGAGCCCATACTGCAAGCCACCGTGTCCTGTGGTTGCCTGTCAGTTGATGGATGGCTACATCTTGTGACCAAATCTTGACATACCCAGCTAGTTGGAGTCCGGCTGAGAGAGCACGCCAATGAGGATGCACCTCAATACCATCCGAACATTCAAAGAGTGCTAGTACAGGCCTGCAGCGAGCAACATGTAGAATTGCATCGGGAAAGAAGAACCCTTCCTCTGTTGCCAACCCGGAATTCTTGCCACCTTTGCTCCAGCTAGGGCATGGAGGAGATAATGTCAGGACTAAGTTTGACCTGTTCGATGAGGCACGAAGGATCGAAGGATCACTGATGTTTGCCAGGATTCCACTATACACGTCCGGGGGATTGTAGTTCACCTTGATTGGACAGCACCAGAACTCTTTGTTGTGATTATACGCCCACGTTTTCATGACTGCCGGGCACCAGTCTATTGAGGTGTGCGATGCAAAAGCCTGCCCGACATTGGCTTGTTGGAGCCAACTCATCGATCTCAGCCAACCTTCGTAAGCACCTGAGAAGAGATGGGAAACGTTCCAGGCAAGGTTCAAATCAAGCATCGAAATGTTCCAAATCAGCGCTTGTTCATCAGCAATCACCGTACCTACCACCGGTTGGTGAGACGGCTTCGTGAGGAGGCCAAGGAACATTCCAGGTGTAAAGTCAACTCGTGCATGATCTGCCTGACAACAAACCTCAAATTGTTTCCAACCATCATTGGCCAGCAAGTCGTCATTGAGGAGCATGGAGGTTCTGCGCACATGTACACTTTTTGGCGGACCACAGCGTACCTGCGCAACCTCACCAAAGAGAACCCACTCAGCAAGCTCGTCATTGCATACACCGGTGGCAGCTATGGCCTTCAAAGCATCCTGGACCGAAACAGCCAGGCTTGAAGGCAAGCTCGCAGTTGCCCAGTTCATCAACGCACCATCGGCTCGTAGCTCATGTGTTGATCCCATTTCCTTAGTATCCATGGCACTGCCCAGCTTGTGGAAGCGAGGCTCTGTGGACGCTGGACCCCTCCACGGCAGGAGGTGACCCAGCCCCGGCGCGTGCCGGCGCGTAAGCTGAGTGGGCTTGATCCAAACAGCTCCGGGGGAGCTTCCTTGAAGAAGCGCGAGCTATCCTGCGTCCAGTGGTTAGTAGCTTACTACCTAGCTACTGCCTAGCTACTACCTACTTCGTACCTCTACTCACGGCCTAGCCCCCCTTTCCCCCGGCCGGCTAAAAGAAAAGAAGCTTACCTTTATCCAGACACTGGTTCAGGTCGATTTTCATAATTCGCCAAACCAGTTTCTGATCTCATTGTTCCAAGGTGTCATTTCCGGATCTGGACTTGGATGCAGGGCAAATTGGTGGAACTCTATCGTGGTCTGATTCTAAACAGGAGAGAGAGAGAGAGATAGAGAGAGTCAGAATGCAAGGAAAAGTTGGCAAGGGGTTTAGGCTGTAGGACCTGCCGGATGGATTGAACTTGGATGCAGCATGTTGTTTGCGGAGGGACTTGCCGCCTGATGGCAGCTTGGTGTAGAGCTGAGAAGTTGCTACCAGAAGGAATCAGTTCCAGAGAGTTTTGCATTCTGTGACATTCTCCGATTCCAAGAGCCGTCCAACGCTGAACTTTGAGGTGACTAGCTTTGTGGTTTACCTCTCCAACGGATCAGAGTAAGTCGCTGAGCACCAGTGTTGAGCTCTTGCTTCTCGAGACATCCGATTCTCTTGACAGTTTTTCCTCTGTCAGGCGATTGGAGTACAGCAATGTCACTGAAAACACCACAGAGGTGGCTGCATGGGGCCTAATCTGTCGACCAGTCGGTGCCGCATTGTCCAAATTGCTTGCGCGGTCCATGCTCGAATAAAATATGCCGTGAGGTGCCTCCAGAGTTTGAGTTCGACTACATGCATTGTTGGCCTGCTTGTCCAATTGTCCAATGTGTTTCAATCATGCACCAGGTGTTTCCATGAAGTTGCAATTGTCAATCTTCATGATGTTGCTTTGTTCAATTGTCAAAGTTTTTTCTTTTGGAGACAAGAACACTGAACCCGAGCGAGGCATGGCCTGGATTTGAGTTTTCGTTTTTTGCAAATGACAGGACATTTGGTAAGAAGGCTAAGAAGGCATCTCAATGATTCCTAATGCTAATTCTGTTTGACTAGGCCCCTACTGCAGCGATCTTGCAATGATGGCAGGTACTTTTGGATCTTCAGCAAATCTTCTTTGGCGGAAGCCACCACGCCACAGGTTCACAGCATTGTTCGGCCCCTAGTAGAGACGATGGGTTGAGTATTTGCACCGACAGTATCACGGAAGCGGGCTGGTCCAATTTGGGCACAACAAAAGACCTTCACGTTGCCGCAGCAGAAGTAGCACTCTGCAGGGTTGGGCCTTGCAAGGTTGACGTGGACGCAACTGTGCAGACTGTCGAGTTTGTTGGAGAGGACAGCTGAAGATAATTTGCACAAAAAAGGAAACCGAATAGCGATGGCCTTCAACCTAATAGCGATGGGCTCCAACCAAATAGCGATGGCCTCCAACCTAATAGAGATGACCTCCAACACAATAGCGATGGCCTCCAACTAATGGCGATGGCCTCAAACCGAATAGCGATGGCCTCCAACCTAATGGCGATGGCCTCCAACCTAATAGCGAT